ACAGATATTTGCCGAGACATTGAGACATCGCAAAGACCGGTGGGGGATATTTAGGTCGCACATCTCATCTCGGGCCAAGGCGCAATTCACATACCTCTTGAGTGAAAGAAGTTTCCGCGGCCGGCTTCTTGCTGATCACCAGGGCAAGCTTCTAGATTTGCAGGTAAGTGGCTTCAATTCACTGCTGTTCCCAACTTGGCATTGAATCTAACAATACTCCCCAGGTTGAACCCGACATAACGAAGGAGGATGGTGCTGGTCGGGGCGCAAAGACACTGTCTGGAGGTGAAAAGTCATTTTCCCAGGTTTGTCTATTACTGGCGCTGTGGGAGGCCATGGGCTCGCCCATACGTTGCTTGGATGAATTGTAAGTTTGTTTGATTGTTTTTATTTTTCTTTTGACTCCCATATCATCATTCAAAAAATGATAGGAAACTCGAATTTGTCGCTGATGTCTTTTCCTCTTTACAGTGATGTCTACATGGACCACGTCAACAGGAAGATGGCGATCGATATGCTTGTATGTGTTGGACAGTCCCCCTGATCCGGCTTTGAAAGCCGCTAAATGATAGTTCCTACTAGATGCTTGCTGCTCGACGTTCAATCGGAAGGCAGTTTATTCTAATCACGCCTGGTTCAAGATCGGACATTGGCCTGGCACCCGACGTCCGGGTGAAAGAGTAAGATATCCTCTCCCCCCACCTCTGGAACTAAACGAGAAAAGGGAATTGACGACTGTGCTTTTCTTTATAGGTTGGCAGAACCAGAACGAGGACAAACTACTTTGCCGTTCACACGATAATGGCGGCCTGCGTTCCAACCCTCTTTCGTTTCTTTTTGCCTCTTCTTCTATCCCTCCCTTGTAAAGTTTGGACTTGCTTATGTATCATAGTATCATATACGAGCTTTATTTTTATACGAAATAAGCCATAATAGCATCTTTCTTCTCATTGGTTTTTGGGGACTTGTGGCGTGGAAGATTTCAGGTTAGGGCTTTGATCATGAGTCCCAGATTGTTGGGCTTCAAGGCTCTGGACGATTTCTCAATATAAAGGGCTTTGACAAGTGTCAAATCCCTGCTTGGGACTGTATCGCACGCTGCAAGGCCGCATATGCCGCTATGCAAGAATTATATTAGATGAACATCCAATTGCCCATCACATGAGCTCACATGATCCCCAAGGTTGCTGGATGCCAGAATTGTACAGCATGAGTTACAATTTCTATGGACATAAATAAAAATGACACCTTTTCACTCTGATGCGCAAAATACAGGTGCTATTCTCCACATCTGAATGCAGTGGTTGTAATATCCTCTGTAATATACGAGAGTACAGGTGGTCCGTGGGTAACGGCATTACCTTTACACAAGCAACCCACTTATCGCCGTAGGATTTTAATTTCTCTCTTCCTCTGTGTGAACACGCAAAACCTCCTTTATACTCTTCGTCCCATTCACCAAGTGGACTCGGCTTCACCTGACTACATAGTACATCTTCCTACCTCTTCCCTCCACGCCTACTCTCTGGTCGCCACGTTCGAACCGATATTTCGAAACGACTTCGCCTACGTCCTCTTAACTAGTACCTCACATTGAGAAGCTCAAGAGTGGTCTATCTCTCGCCTTAGGCAGCCTTGTGCACTCGTTTCTTTTCTGTTTCTTTCTCTTTTCTCTTTTCTCTTTTCTCTTTTCTATTTCCCTGTCTTCCTTTGACCTACTATTAAGCTCGAAAAATAAGCTATCTATCATTGCCCCTCACCGCCGAACATACTTTACGCCGTTCCCGTCTCTCGATCCTCTTGTTGACAACCGAATTTTTTGATCATCATACTCTGGCCTCTTGCAGAACGAAGAATTTCTTTTTCTTGTCAACACACTGTTTATTCCAAAGAAAGGGCCACATCTAAACTCCATTACATTCGGCCAAAGGCACCCATCATCCCCTCACCTACAAACCCGAACACCCGACCGCTATTCTCCCAAAGAAATCCAATCCCAATCATCATGGCCGACGCTCTTGCTTCACAGTTGAACAATACAAACCTAGGGTATGTGGACTGCCATACAGTAGCGCTGCAATTCCCGCATGGAACTTACAGCAATTCCCGTTCAACAGGGATGACGCGAAATGGAAGGAAAACCTGAACGCTCCTGCAAAGGATGCTAGACCGCAGACTGAGGTTCGTAGTATTGGACGGTTGTCTTTTGATCTTTCTAGGTACTAATCTTGCTGCAGGATGTGACAGCTACAAAGGGTCTAGAATTCGAAGACTTCTATATCAAGCGTGAGCTGATGATGGGTATCTTCGAGGCTGGTTTTGAGAAGCCCTCGCCTATCCAGGAAGAAACAATACCGGTTGCTCTTACCGGTAGGGATATCCTAGCTCGTGCTAAAAACGGAACAGGGAAGACGGCTGCTTTTGTCATCCCCACCTTAGAACGCATCAACCCCAAGAGCACCAAAACTCAGGCTCTTATCCTTGTTCCCACAAGGGAATTGGCGCTCCAGACATCTGCCGTCTGCAAGACACTTGGGAAGCACTTAGGTATCAACGTCATGGTCACTACAGGAGGAACCGGATTAATGGACGATATCATCCGATTGAACGACGCAGTCCATATCCTTGTCGGAACCCCAGGAAGAGTGCTTGACTTGGCCAGCAAGGGTGTTGCCGATCTTTCGGAGTGTCCCACGTTCGTTATGGATGAAGCAGATAAATTGCTGTCCCCTGAATTCACACCCGTCATTGAGCAGCTGCTGTCGTTCCATCCCAAGGATCGCCAGGTTATGCTATTCAGTGCCACGTTCCCGTTAATCGTCAAGTCATTCAAGGTATGATTAACAGTTGATTCTTCTTTGTTTCTAGCGTTCTTCAGCTGACTGCTTTGCTGTAGGATAAACATATGCGCAACCCTTATGAAATTAACCTCATGGACGAACTTACCTTACGAGGAATCACTCAGTATTATGCTTTTGTGGAAGAAAAGCAGAAGGTTCATTGTCTTAACACTCTGTTCTCCAAGCTTCAGATCAATCAGTCGATCATTTTCTGCAATTCGACGAATCGAGTCGAACTCCTTGCAAAAAAGATTACGGAACTGGGTTATTCATGCTTCTATTCTCATGCCCGGATGCTTCAACATCACCGTAACCGCGTCTTCCATGATTTCCGAAACGGCGTATGCCGCAACCTTGTCTGCTCCGATCTGCTTACTCGTGGTATTGATATCCAAGCGGTCAATGTTGTCATCAACTTTGATTTCCCTAAGAACGCCGAGACCTACCTTCATCGAATTGGTCGTTCTGGGCGTTTCGGCCATCTGGGTCTTGCCATTAACCTCATCAACTGGGATGATCGCTTCAACCTGTACAGAATTGAACAGGAATTAGGGACTGAGATTCAGCCCATTCCTCAGAACATTGACAAGAAACTCTATGTTTATGACTCTCCGGATACTATTCCCCGCCCCATTGCCCATTCCTCTCAACCCATTGCCCATTCTTCTCAACCACGTCAGGCGATCGGTCCGACCCCAAACGCAAACAACGGAGAATACCAGCAACAGCAACAACGTCGCTACAATGAACATACAAATGGCGGAAATTATCAGTTCAACCGAGGTCGCGGTGCATACCGTGGACGTGGTCAGGGCCAACGACGTAACGTACAGGGCGATGTCAACAAATTTGTCGCTTCGCAAGGCTAAGCCTATAGCAAGGCTCAAATGGCGCCAACATCCCAAGTTGGCGACAACTTCTGCTTGTTAATACTGCTCCGTCTCTTCTTTTGATTTACTTTTTTGTGCTTGTACTTTTTTTTTTTTTTTTTCTATGCAAGTCATCGGGATTTGCTGTTAACACATTAACGCCTTAAGCCCCACTTACTTTCTACTGTCATCATTTTATTTCCTTTCATTTTGTCATGACAGCATGATAAGGATGCTATATCTGTACCATATCTGCTTATACATCAACCCTTCAATTAATCCGTGTTTCTCACGCCGGTTATTTAGGGTTGGTTGTTGTTGGCTCTCCACCAGGCGCATCTTGCCATGAGTGTGGCTCTTTTCTTCTACCTTATTTCCAAGGTGTACATATATTTCTTCGTCTCATCACTGCATCCTGGGAACCTCAGAAGCACAGGGGTTGGCGTTCTTAGGGCGTGGTCAGTGATTTTTTTTTTTTTTTTGGATGCCAGCTGTCTTCGTTGCACTGTCGATCATGCAACGGTTGCGTGTACGGCATCCTGGAGTTTTGCTTTGGGGCTCGGTTCGAAGAACTCGCAGCTTTCTTAGATTCGGCATTTTCTTCTTTTCCTTCTCTTTTTTACGAACCAAGCTTGTTGCCTGCTAATTTGCTTTGCTCGTGTCTGTCTATCTGCCTTCACTCGAGCTGGTGGGTTTTACGACAGCTATGCTTGTTCATCTTCTCTCAATCTCTTTCATTCTATTTGATGTCAAGTCCCAAACTTCATGCTTTTATGTCTTGAAGCAGGAGGGTCAACTTTTACTCTGGAATTTTACCGGGGCTAGATGCGAGTTGGGATGAGCTGAAGTCTTCGAACTTTATGGGTGCAGTGCGTTATGACGAGAATGGGGAGGCATTGAAAAAAGAAAACAATGAAGAATAATAAAAAAGGACAGGGTGGATGTGGACCGGAGTGTTGACGGACTGGGGAATCACAAAACAAAAAGAGAAAAAAAGAAAAAACGAGTGTTGGGGCACCAGGTGCTGCTGTCGCTGCCATTTTAAATAACATCATCTGGCCAAATGAATGACAATCTGCCCTTTCACTAAACCATGACTTTCCTAATGTCCGTACTACTACTGTATGTAAACGTAAGTATCGACGTTTTACCTCGGAGTTGCGGAGCGATCTCGGAGTTGACTGCGTGGATTGCTCATGCTGGCTACCGTATGATATCTTGAATTGATTTGTCCGCAGTTCTTGGACCAAAACAAATTTCAATCACATCAGTGCCTCTTAGATTTTGCCTAATGGCTACCGCAAGCAAAGATCAGAAATCAAAGGTCTGCATTTTGGAGTTGAGATCCCGAAAAAGCCTCTTGCAACGAGTTGCTAACTACATCACAGCCCAGTAGTCTGCGGTCGATTGTCGCAGGCTCAACGGCGGGGGCAATTGAGATTGGTAAATATATATTCCCTTACTAGATTTAGGGTACAGCAAGTATCGGCTAACGCGGATCATAGCGATTACCTATCCAGCCGAATGTACGGCAATGCCTTTCCATGCACTTCTTCAAAAACTGACCCGGATGTCTTAGTCGCCAAGACACGCTCGCAACTCAATCGCAAATTACCTGATGGAAAGAAACTGCCATGGCCAAAATTTGGTCCTCAATGGTACGCTGGATGTACCTCGTTAATCATAGGGAATTCGTTTAAGGCAGGAATCCGTGAGTCCTTAATTGGCCCCAGTAGTTTGGACGGGCTGCATTGTGCTTACACTGTAAACTTTGCAAAGGGTTCGTCGCCTTTGATAAAATAAAAACGTTTCTCCAGGATGAGAACGGCAAAATCTCGGGCCCGCGGACGGTCCTCGCTGGCTTTGGTGCTGGTTTCACAGAATCGCTTATAGCTGTTACCCCATTTGAGAGTATCAAGACACAAATGTCAGCCATGCCCATCCATGGTCGACGATGCTGACCTTGGCCTGATGTAAAACTGAGACTAACAAGCGGTATCTAGAATTGACGACCGGAAATCGGGAAATCCTCGCATGCGCGGTCTCGTGCATGGTAGCAAGGTGATCTTCCAAGAAAGAGGCATTCGAGGTTTCTTCCAAGGTCTTGTTCCCACAACAGCAAGACAGGCTGCAAACTCGGCAACAAGATTTTCGAGTTATACTACATTGAAGCAGTTGGCCGAAGGTTATGTTGCCCCTGGAGAAAAATTGGGAACTGCCAGTACATTCGCTATTGGAGGCGTGGCAGGTCTCATAACAGTGTACGTTTCGACCCTTTTATTATAGCCCTCCACTTATAGATTTCTCACTGACGTCGGAAAATACAGTTATGTTACCCAGCCCCTTGACACCGTGAAGACCAGGTAAGGAAAAGCGGATATGTCTAGATATTGGTTTGGACCTACATTACTGATGCCCAAGCACAGGATGCAATCTCTGGAAGCTAGCAAGAATTACAAAAACAGTTTCGTTTGTGCGGCAAAAATCTTCAAGGACGAAGGAGTCCTCACGCTCTGGTCTGGTGCTATGCCACGGTTGGCGAGGTTGATCATGAGTGGTGGAATTGTATTTACCATGTTTGTTTACCTGAACCCTGCATTTAGTGGATTATTGCTAACTTCTGCAAACAGGTATGAAAAGACTATGGAGGCTCTGGACTCTTTCGATCCGCAAAGGAAATATATATGATATTTTCTTCTCTAAGGAATAAGATCTAAGAGAATTAAATTATCATGAGTGCTTAGAACAGGAAAGTACGTTACATAAATACATATGGTTGATACTTTCATTTTATTTTACAAAATGCGGCACTTCAAGTCATTAGGTCAACTCTACTTTTTTGCAGCATCCTCCGCAACCATAGCTTCAACTTCTCGATCTACAAGCCAAGTCCTCACGCTATCCATGACTGTTTCAAGGCCATCGCCACCAACAAGAACATCATCCAGATTGTGTACCGTGATGCCACTGCGATGATCTGTACATCGACTCTGGCCATAGTTGTATGTGCGAATCTTGTCACCACGGCCCATGCGGGCGACGCCTCCCATTGCTCCTCTTCTAAGCTGGACCAATTCCTGCTCACGAGCTTCTTGTCTTGCTTCTGCCAACTTTGCCCGTAGCACTTGCCATGCCTTTTTACGATTCGCGTGCTGAGACCGCGAATCCTGCATCGAGACGACGATACCAGACGGTACATGGGTCAACCGAATGGCAGACTCCGTTTTATTGACGTGCTGTCCACCAGCACCACTCGCCCGCATCTTCTCAGTACGGACTTCCTGTGGGTTAATGTAGTAGTCACTGTTCGGATCTTCAAAATTGAGTCCACTGTCCATGCCACTACCCGTCTCAGGAAAACTAGGGAGTATCATCACACTGACAGCACTGGTGTGTGTGCGTCCCTTGGTTTCCGTGGCCGGCACTCTCTGAACTCTGTGCACGCCTGACTCAGTCCTCAAAGTCTCGTAAGCCCCATTCGTTTCAATTTCCAGAACGGCTTCGCTCAGGCAGTCCTCGGCGGGTCCGTCTGCCACATCCTTTTTAATCAAACTTGATTGAAGACCGCGTCGAGTACAAAATGAAGTGTACATTCTTAACAGCTCAAAAGCGAAAAGACCAGCTTCATCACCACCTGCGCCAGGTCGAATTTCAAGTAAACAAGGAAGGCCTGCGAACGGATGACGGGGTATAAGCGATTCTTTCAATTTGTCTGATATTGCCGGTAAGGTGCCTTGGTTGCCCTCTAGGTCTTCGACGGCTAGAGAGCGTAACTCTGAGTCCGTATTGGGATCGTTGAGCAAAGATTGAAGCTCCGATATGGACTAAATGAATTGGGAATTATAGTCAGTTTAATAAAAAGCCGCATTCACTTCAATCCGCCTTGAGTGCACACCTCATTTGCACTATCCCATTTTTTCAGAGTTTCTGCGACTGATACTAGTTCACCGAGTCGCTTTGCGGTTTTCGCATCAAACGAATTCGCCAGGCGAGAAGAAAGCGCCGAATGTTCAGCCGCGAGCGAGCGAGCTCGAACCAGTAAAGCGGGAGACAGGCCAGTTTCCGGGACTAGCAAAGAGGCGAAGTATTAGCCCTAGTCCTTAACCCAATGGTAATACTATAGCCGGCGACCATACTTGTGTTCACAGTTCGCCGTTGGAAAAATGGTTGCAAATCCGGGGCAATTTTAGGAAAGCGCCTAAGACATCGAGAGCACGCCCATGGAACGGTGAACATGCTTTTCTGAGTAGAAGCGCGTCTCTCTAATACTTCCAATTGAGAAATATTTCCAGAACGCAAGAGAAGATGTATTCTATTTCATGTGGAGCGTATTCGAGAACACTCCGTCAATCACGTGTATTGTTTACAATACGCCACACGTACCGGACCGTAAAGGCCAGACTGGAAGTATACAGCCTGCTTATTCTTATCTTAAACTACACACTGGTTAAATCAAACGCATAACATTCTCTTCGCTGCTCGTCTTTCTTTCTTTTTTCTTTTTTCCCTCCTTTTTTCCCAAGCAGCCCAACATATCATTGCGTCCGAGAATTACGATGTACTTCTAAAGAGCGCCATATTTGTTGCACCACCGTTCAAGTTATCATATCATGTACATCTCCTTTGAATCGTTCACGGCCTTTTTGGCCTGTCTCACAGTTTGCCATAGCCTCCAGGCTTCCCAGATACCCATAGATACACCACTTTCATCTTTGATCTCTTCGGCAAAAACTCACCTTGCAAACGGGTCACCTCGTGACGCTTTACTTTTCTACGATGCAGCAGTTTCGCGGGATCCTACGAACTATCTCACCGTTTTTCAGCGAGGCGCAACCTTTCTGTCCATTGGAAAGAATTTACAGGCATTGCAGGACTTTGACCGCGTGCTAGAACTGAAACCGGACTTTGAAAGTGCTTTGCTCCAACGAGCGCGCCTGAGGGCTAAGTCAGCAGACTGGACGAGTGCAATTGATGACTTAGAAAAGGCTGGCAAAAAGTCCTCTTCGGAGTATCAGGAAATACTGGATGCGCAACACGCAGCACAACTAGCGCAAGATGCAGAGAAACAAGGCGCCTGGGAGACGTGTGTGACCCAGGCTAACACAGCAGTGGTTAAGGCGACCACTTCTTTAGGCCTACGGCGCACTCGAGCACATTGTCGCCTAGAAAAAGGAGAAATAGAGGAGGGCATTAGCGACCTAGCGCATGTTCTACAGATGTCTCCTAGTCTGGTGGAGCCACATCTTCAAATATCGTCAATGCTGTTCTTTGCTTTAGGAGAGGGTGACCGTGGTATTTCTCAGCTCCGGAAATGTTTGCATTCGGATCCTGAATCGAAGCCATGCAACCGCCTTTACCGTAAGGAGAAAAAGCTGCTAAAACGACTAGAAAAACTCCGGGGCGCGTTGAGTTCGCGGAAATATAGCAACGCTGCACATCTGCTAGTTGGAGTAGGTGAGGACAGTGGGCTTCTGGGCGATGTCAAGGAGGATGTTGCACAGGCAAGAGATGAGGGCCACATTCATCCTACAGCACCCAATAATCTATACATATCTTTGGTGGAAAATACGTGCGAGGCTTATCGCGAGGTTTGTGGTTCCCAGAGAATGAGGCCTTTAGTAATTGCTAATTTATCTTTTTCTGTAGATGCATATGCCTAAGCGCGCTACGCCTTATTGTTCAGAGGCGCTTGAGTTGAATCCATACTCCCTTCAAGCTCTTATGTTCAAGGGTCAGGCTGCCATTGATGAGGAACGATTTGAGGACGCAATACGCGCACTGAACACGGCCAAAGAGCACCATGCAGACTCTAAAGACACCCAAGATCTTCTGCAAAAGGCGCATATATTGTTAAAGCGTTCCAAGAAGAAGGACTACTATAGAGTTTTAGGTGTCAGTCATGATGCAGATGAACGGACAATCAAACGCGCTTATCGTCAGTTGACGAAGCAGCACCATCCCGATAAGGCTGCTTCTCAAGGTGTCCCTAAAGAAGAAGCTGAAAAGAAGATGGCTTCTATTAATGAGGCGCATGAGGTTCTCGCGGATCCAGAACTCAGGGCACGTTACGACAGCGGCGATGACCCCAACGATCATGAATCTCAGCGAGGAAACCCATTCCAGGGAAATCCCTTTGGCCCTGGTGGTGGACAACAATTCTTCTTCCAACAGGGAGGGCCGCAGTTCAATTTCAAGTTCTCGGGTCCCGGCTTCAATTTTCCAGGTGGTTTCCCATTTCGTTGACATCATTTCAGGCGCGTTTTTTGGACACGGAGTAGGAGCGTTATACTCACATAAACCCGAGCCCCCCCTTTTTTTTTTTTTTTTTTTTTTTCGTCCTTCCTCGCTTGCCTTATGCCTTTATGGGCAAGATAATTCTGAATTCACATGATAAGTTTATCCGGCAATAAGTATATTGTCAGTAGCTTGGGGCTTCCCAAATGCATGTATAAATAGACAATACGAGAAAGGTAGATTAAATGTGAGAATAATAGAGACTTCACCATTTATTTTTGAGTACAAATTTCCGACGACAGATCATTTCATCCGCGTGGTGCGTCAGTCAGAGGTACATAGCTAACCTGGAAGACCTTCTCCTTATGAACAGACCCATCTTCTTTTTTGTCTACTACCCAGATGCACTGGCCTCCACCCAATCCAAGAGCCCCAGTGGAGCTCTCATCATCTTCTGTATCCACGGGAATGAACATTCGCCCAGGCGCTTGAAGTTGTTCGACCAAAACAGAAGGAAGTTCTTTTGCTGCTGCACCAACATGAATCGCATCATAAGGTGCTTCTTCCTTCCATCCCAAGCGACCATCTGCTGTGATGAACTTCACCTGACCAGATTCCAAGAACTTGCGGCCTTGGTCCGATTTATGCATATTGTTGCGGGCCATATCAACTAGCTCATTTATATGATCGATTCCAACCACTTGACCGCCTGAACGGCCGCTAGAGGATGGTGACTCGGTAACCAGATTCGCGAGGACATGGGTTAGATACCCAGAGCCAGACCCAATATCAAGAACCCGACGCCCGGGCTTAAGATAATCTATAAGATACTCGCATGCGTGGCCGTGCATGTGCGGGGCTGAGATTGTCGCATCGTAGCCAATTGGTTGCGGCGAGTCTGAATACGGTCTTGAGGGGGCATAATGGGCACGATCGACCTTTGATCTCATGTCAATTCTTTACAGCTCCCGCTATGTAATGGCTAGGGTGGCATGGTTGTAATTTGTAGAGGGATGGCTATTTGGGTTGTTAAAGTATCCCAGCTATTTCATTCGCGGAATACTTTCTCAAAGGAGGGATTGGAAGCTAACTCACTCCTATCATGGCATTCTTCACTCGTTCATCCTTGATGAGGCCGACTTTGAATAAATTCTCGACCAATTCTGTGTTGGTCGAGCCGGAGCAGTACCACGCCATGGAGAAGTGTCTCTTTTTGATGGTACTCAATGCCAATGGGGTCACTGTGCTTAATCTCAGCATGCAGATATGCCCTCTACTGCAACTCCTTGTGGTCGGATTCGGTCGAGAAAGGGTGTAGAGAACGAATAATTGGGCACGGGAGTGGTGGGATTATTCTTACGTTGGGCCACATCAATCAATGATAGCCTCATGTATGACGCCATTCTCACATAATGGTAACGTGGTAACCTACCGACTTGGTGTGTGGCTTACATACTAATGTAGGCAGGGAAAAATGCTCCTGGGAGGGGAGGGAGGTCAATGACTATGGGGAACGGTAGAAGAGAAGAAGGGAAGAAAGAAAAAAACGTGTGCAGTGTCCAAAAACACTACGGAGCGCAGTTTATATATATACTATATACACGGAACACCAATAGGCAGCTCAAAGGTTAGATGACTATGCACCATGCACCATGCACCATGCATCATCTATGTACTACATACTGCTACGTATGCCACTGATTGATTGACCAACTAGTCTGTACTATCTAGTTAACTATAGAATATACAACATTAATAATCTGATCTGGCACATGGCTAGCATGATAATCATGTGGGGTTGATACCCTGCACTCCACCCTAACAGATCATCCGCAATACCATAACAAAAATGTTCGGTTTGAAAACAATAACCCATGATGGATTCAGATAAAGCGAATCTTGATACCCAGAATGACGTTGATCTTATTATACTGGACTACCTCCTATGTATTGGCATAGACGTTTTAATCCACGGCAGAAAAACGGACCGAGGCCGTACAGAGAGCTGGGACAACTGGGTTCTTAATTCAATACACAGTAAGTCCAGATCGCGGAGTATCTCTAGGCACGGTCCCGTGCGACCATGGGCGTCCCATACTAAGTGCCACAGCATTTAGATACATACTGCCTCCAAGCCACACGCTCCCACAGGATCTGATTATCAAGTTGCAGCTGCTCGACTTCGCGGACATATTTCTTCACGATTACACACAATTGGTGCCATATAGAACACCAGCTGCTGGAGGCTCCTCGTATGAAGGGTACATTAAAACACAGGCTGAAGCCCATACAACGAATCATGGCCAGTCGAAGATATTTCCAGTAACGTCGCCTGGACCAAGCAATCCCTGCACAAACACATACCTGCACAGGATTATACCCGAGTTCATGAAATTGTGTGTCGCAGCAAAGGAGAAGGTGTCAATCACGCGATGGGTTGATATCCTAACTCAATTCATGATGCAGGCTGTAGCCGAGGAATATCACAGCAATGGGAGGCAATTGCCGGAATTTTTCAACAAATATCCATCCTGGAAGCCAGAAGATCAGACCCAAGCATTGGTATGGGAACAAGCAACTGCTAGTTATATGCAGGCACAGAGAGGAATCTCGTCGGGCGCCAATTTTAAAGCGACATTGAATGAACGGTCGTTGTCTCGACTTGAGAATGATGTAACTGGGTTTTTATCTGATTTAATGGAAACATTAGATGCCCCGGTCCTTGTTCAACTTGAAAGAGGACAAATAGGCCAACTCAGCCACGCAGAAACGGAGCAGTTGAAGAGCTATGTGGGATTTCGATGAATACATGGGAATGCGACGAGCTTCCAGGGCACAACCAAGACATGTTTTGTTTGAATATGGAAAGAAGTGAACTGCTCCGACTGCCATTGGTACTTGAGCTGTTTCAAAACCGCATAAGCCAAATTCGAGATGATTGCTATATTCTTTGCATAATAATAATCTACATGTGAAAATGGAAAGAGACAAAGAGATAAATAATCGAGGATGTTAGAAACACGAAGTGACGTTGGTATCCCACATCCGAGGCTACAATACAATTCAAAGGCAATATACTTAGCCGAGCAGCATGCGACGAGGGTCCTCGATGTACTCCTTGATCTGTGAGGGGTTAGCATAACGAGCTAAAGGATTTTTGTTTAGTATGCCCACAAACCTTTACAAGGAAGGTGACCGCCTCCCGTCCATCCAACAAGCGGTGATCATAAGTCAGAGCAAGATACATCATCTAATATCAGAGTATATCAGTAACTACCGTTTGAATTGCGTTACGTCAATTGAAATTAAACATACCGGGCGAATCTCAATTTTGCCATTCACGGCGACCGGCTTATCCTTGATAGCGTGAAGTCCAAGAACAGCTTAAAAAGTGTCAGATATTTGTTCGTAGGGTAGCATGGATCAAAGGCACCTACCTGTCTGGGGGAGGTTGATAATCGGAGTACCCATAAGAGAACCAAACACGCCGCCCTATATCAAATCAATATCCGAGTCCTGTGTTTGCAGAGCAAGAGCATACTTACATTGCTAATGGTGAAAGTGCCACCAGCCATGTCTTCGATGGTCAATTTGTTATCACGCGCCTGAGGAAATTAGTATAGTGCCGAGCCATGTATCCCTTCAATGGCAACTCACCTTCTTTCCGAGATCCGCGATGGCTTGTTCAATACCAACAAGGTCCTTTGTCTCGGAATTACGAACCACAGGCGTCACCAGACCCTTTTCGGTAGCAACGGCCACACTAATGTCAACATAATCCCTGTAGACAATAGTATCGCCACCGTTAGGGCCTTCGATAGATGCGTTAACGGCAGGGATATCTTTCATAGCCAGGACACAAGCACGCGAGAATGCGCTCATGAAGCCAAGTTTGACGCCGGTCTTCTTCAGCACGTCATCCTTGTACAGCTTTCGGAACTCCATTAAAGAGGACATGTCAACCTCATTGAAAGTAGTGAGCGAAGCGGCCGTGTTCTGAGACTGCTTCAAACGCTCAGCAATCCTAAGTCGCATTCTGTTCATTTTCACCTAAACCGCGAACAAGCGTCCTGTTAGCACCGGAATCAGGTATCCGCGCAACAGAACAAACGCAATAAACATACCCTACGCTCCTCGCGACCCCCAAAAGCCGGCTCGGCATCAGAGACAGGCTCTTGTTTGGACGTTCCGGTCTGTGGTTTCGAAGTCTCGGGCTTTGGCGCAGGAGGCTGCTCAGGAGCTGGTGGTGCTGGCGATTTGGGCTTCTCGGGTTCAGAAGTCTGGCTCTTTTCGGGAGCCGCAGGCTCCTTTGGCTTCTCACCCGCATCTTCCTTCTTCGTTTCGGGAGCACCTCCAAGTTCCAATTTTACCAAATCCTGCCCAACAGTAACAGTATCCTCTTCGTTCGCAAGAAGCTCTTGCACGGTACCAGATTCGGGGGCATTGACCGATACATCGATCTAAGATCCGTGAGTAAGTCGAGAAAGTGCAAAAGCATAGATTTTGTACAAAGACTCCCACCTACCTTATCGGTCTCGATTGTCGCAATTTCCTCGTCCCGTTCGACATAATCCCCAACCTCTGGACCATGGTAAGCATACGTTACCTAGAACAACGACCTAAGAAATCCATACGCTTTGTGAACTGTTTCAAGGTTCCCTCTGTGATCGACTCTGCCATCTGAGGAACCTTCACGATAGAGTCCGCTGACAAATGGTTAACGTCATGTACGACGGAAAGCAGAATCGAGTATTACCATAAGTTCGGACCTGGCTACCTCCCAGACGGGGGTAGTTGGACAGGAAGACATTGGCACTGAAACTCTGGAGTAAGTCAACTGTCCGTCACAAGCGCAAGTTTAGAATATCTTACCCCGAGGCCGAAACCCGTAGTAAACCAGAGGTAGGTCTGCTAGCGTTCACTACACCCTTCTGAAGGGCAGCTGAAGCAAAACTCCTACGGCCGCCTAGACCCAGATTGCGGGGCACTTGGGTGATACGGAAAACATTCTTCATTTGTTGCTCTGACAAACGGTTAAGTGATAACCGAGAAGCCATGGTGATTGATTGTTCGAAACGGACTCAGATTTCGCCAATGCTAGGGGGGGAGGGAGAAAAGAAAGAAAGAATGGTACGGCGGCTTGTGGATATCAGAATGTCGAAATGTAGGCACCGCTGGTAGTAAAATGTGTTGTATCCGACGGGGATAGAGGGACTCGTGCAGAGTGACGAAACTTAAAAAGCCAGGGTGCAAGACGACAAGAGCTCGAGTCCGGGCCGAGACAACCGGAATTTCCCAGCGGCACCCATCCATTTTCCATGCATCCGGCAAGTGACGGAGTATTATTATTACGCTTGTACGGTTGCCTAAGAACACCAACATAGTAGTTTCCTGGGCCCGCCGAACAGGAACCGCGAATGCAAATGTCGGCATAGGTCAGCACAGGGAGTGGCAGACCTCTATTCAAATACCCAATTTAACTTGAACTGGCAGTTGTGGGTTCTATCACTTTTATCGTTTTACTTATTACCGTTTTACCCCTCAAGATACAACCATGTCCAGCAACACAGTTGTGTAAGTCTATTTCTATACAGGACATTAGAGTTACTGACCTGATTCTTCTTATCTCTAGCTCGCTCTACCGGCGATCTCTGAAACTTGCGCTCGACTGGGCTGTTCACAGACAGATTTGGCGCGGTCAAGCAGTATACATTCGATCGCTGTTCGAAGCAAACAAGGATGTTCGCGACCCCCGCCAGCATAAGGTAGGCGTTCCACATGGAATGCAAACATCTTGCACCATTGGCTTAAAAAAGTTTGGCAGGTGTTATTGAGAGAAACGGAAAAGTTACTAGATACCTGGAAACACCCTGATCCCTACAGAATGCCCACTGCTCCCGGCGGTATGTGACCAAAACGAACGAGATACTTTAGTGGCTCTATGCTAATGGTTAATGCAGGTAACAAATATGAGAGAAACATTCCTGCTCGGCAATTACCTCGTATGTAGATCTGAGGACTACTGTTGTACTGGCTAACAGATAACAGTTGCTTCCGATCACGCCGACAGTCACTGAGGGCGCTGTGCAAGCAAGAATTGGTCTGTTTTGTAGGTTATGGCGAATGGGCATATCAACAAGTGGTAGATAGCAAACCTCGACATTGTAACATCTCATCTTTCCTACGCCAAAACCAACTACAACTACTGCTCTACCAATCGCGATATTTTCAATCTACTATGCATACAGTACTCATACTGCAACGTGAAAGATCATTTTTAAATGAAAACCGCATAATTGATCATTCAGATGGTTTCCCATCAAATTTGATAATGACCGAAAGCTAAGATCCCTTAATAAGCTGTCGGTATCATTCCATGCCCGTAGACATAATATACAACCATTAAAAAAAAAGCAGAGCCATAAACGTGCCCAGTCCAGAACCCCGAATCACATCAATAACAAAACCAAATCACGCCGGAAAAAAATAACCCACGAAAAAGAAAAGAAAAAACGTGAAAACATTCTACAGCTCTTGGCTCGGTCCTTTTCCGGCCTTGGGGGTCTTCTTGGGAAGCAAGTCTGGGGAAATACATTAGCATCATTTTAGTTCATCCGGGAACGAAGGTATGTATCAACTCACTTTGGTGAATGTTTGGAAGGACACCACCCTGGGCGATGGTGACATGACCCAGGAGTTTGTTCAACTCCTCATCGTTACGGATGGCAAGCTGAAGGTGACGTGGGATGATACGGGTCTTCTTGTTGTCACGAGCGGCATTTCCCGCCAATTCAAGAATTTCGGCAGCAAGGTATTCGAGGACGGCAGCGAGATAAACGGGAGCACCTATATTGCGTATAAGTATGTATTTATACGAGTACGAAGAGAGTTGCTTACCAGCACCAACACGCTGGGCATAGTTACCCTTGCGAAGGAGGCGGTGAACACGTCCAACAGGGAACGCGAGACCGGCCTTCGACGAACGCCTGCAAGTAACAAAGTTAGCGACTATAATGAAATGGCCTCGAGCAATGACTGAGAATCATACGATTGCGCGTTCTTGCTGCCGCTGGCCTTGCCTCCAGATTTGCCTCCAGTCATTTTTATTGTTTGGGTTATTGCACGGCGGTTTGAAATAGGAAAAAAGGATGTATGGGTCCGTAACAGCAGGTTAGAGCAACAAAGGTTATGGGAAGTGGTAGGCAGCGCGAGGGAGCGGAGGACATTTATAAGAACGCGGTGAGGGTGACGTTGGGCTACCCGGAGGTCCTTCAGATCACCCTCTCGCTTAGCGGGGTTGGCCAATCATAACAGAGATCACGTACTGGTGTATTCATTGCTTGGCAAAGATATATCCGCTATGAATCGCGGGTAGCTTGCTAGGGGAGTCGTGCGGGTATTCCAGATCGAGTTAAGCGCCGTAATGTAACCTTTGAACGTTTCTAATACCAGCCCTTGGCGTGATTGTTGCCGTTTTCCCTCAGTGTTTGACGCGTCCGCCCCTCCTTAATCATACAGATCATACGCAGCCGTTACCGTATTGAAATTCTGCCTCTTTTGCGCACTTCAAGATCAACTGCGCTTTCGCGGCATCGTATAAGTATCGCGCCTCCCTCGTCACCGCGTCTCAGTCATTTTCTACTCCCATTCTATCCGCGACCACATCTACAACCCCGTTTTATACGCCTTCGACTACCTGAGCTGCTTCATTAAAGCTTGAATTAATTGATATTCGACCACTACAAATAATCCAACTTTACGAACAAAATGCCTCCCAAAGCTGCCGAGAAGAAGCCCAGCACTGGTGGCAAGGCCCCTGCTGGAAAGGCCCCCGCTGAGAAGAAGGAAGCTGGCAAGAAGACCGCAGCTGCTGCCTCGGGCGAGAAGAAGAAGCGCGGCAAGACCAGGAAGGAAACCTACTCTTCGTACATTTACAAAGGTATGTATCACGCATCAATTTTAGTTCTATCCAAAAACTAATGGCATGAAGTTCTTAAGCAAGTCCACCCCGACACTGGTATCTCTACTCGTGCTATGTCTATCCTCAACTCTTTCGTCAACGGTATGTTAAACTGGGAAATGGTGTGAGATGAAAATGGTTCTAACGATCCCTAGACATCTTCGAGCGTGTCGCAACCGAAGCCTCAAAACTTGCTGCCTACAACAAGAAGTCGACAATCTCGTCGCGAGAGATTCAGACATCGTAAGTGCTTTTTATATACCCAGCCTGAATTTGACTGACAGGTCTCAAGTGTGCGACTCATTTTGCCTGGTGAACTCGCCAAGCACGCCGTGTCGGAAGGCACCAAGGCAGTGACGAAGTACTCATCTTCCGCCAAATAGGCTATTTTTTTTTTGTTTCCTTTCGTTGGTTTTGTTTATTTGTTATGCTGCCTCTTCATCTATCAGGGTTTTGAGGCGGTGGGTTAAGGGTGTTCGCGGGATTTTTTTTAATGTGTCATGGGATGGCTTTGCTATATCTGTTTTGTTTTTTTCCTGGGCCCAATGTCTTTCATGGTTGTTATTTCAAGATGTGAATGCGGTGTAACATAACTCGGATCTGGGGTTGGTTGCGCGATCTCACCCCTACCAGAATTCTGAATACCATTGACTACTAAAGTAGTACTCTCATCGCATTTTCAAGTGGATTCGGATAGGAGCAACGAGTGATGAATCTTAAATTGACAAATAACAATAATATTGATCTAATGGTAGTGAACTTAAAATGTTTACTCCATACCCTCCATACCGTCAGCATCATCTAGAGCTTCAACTTCATCGAGTGCCTCTTCCCGACCAAGGCCGTAATCCGGCTGTATGTAACTGAGAATATGCATAATCGGCTTTCCTTGGCCGGCCTCAACACGTTTCTTCCAATCATCCCAGTCTTCTTCATTCCTTATAAGAAAACCAAGTAACATACTTGGATCCATATCTTTGATATGTATCCTCCGCAAACGCCGAGTATGATATGTGTCACGCTCTTCTTCAGTGTAAAGTTCATGGGCCGAGCGATAAGGCAAGGCAGGTCGGGTGTGGTGAGGATCGAGGTAGAAAAGATACGATCCTTGAACCCCAACGAAGTAGTGCGACGCTGATGGGCGCCCTCTGTTCCGGTGTCATCAGCATTATGTTCATATTCTAAGCTCAATTTGACTCGGTTGCGAATGAGCCCATAACGTACCCTGCTATTCCCACTGACTGGGGGTACTGCAAAGCCGCTTTAAGTGCATCCCAGTATACAGGCGTGATATGATCAATCCCCAGTCTGGTGCCTAGAAGGATAAGTGTGGGTCGAATACATCCGGCATCATCCCGAGCGATGTCCGTAAACTTGTTTTGGTAGACGTTCGCGTTCTCATTAGAGACATATACTCTCAGTTTCGGTTCCTGGCATTGCTCGCAGAGCGCCCTATATCATGCATGAGTACAGTTCAATTGGCAGGGTACTTTTTTTCCTTTTTCTTTTTCATACTGTATACAGAGTGCGGTAGCCGAGGGTCCAAACCATTCCCCGGGATACTTGCCGCAACGCTCCGCACCGAGCTCGACAAAACGATGTATTGAAAATGGCGCATTCGGACAATCAGCAAACAAAGATAGCAGTCGCATTTCCTCGTCAGTTTTGGTCCCTCGCTGCCAATCTGAGATGTTCATTAGCAAAGAAACCCTTTTTCGCCAGATATTAGCCGCAATAGCAAGAGGGGAAGGGGGGTTTGTTGATACCGCGTCCCAACAGCAAAGAAGAAAGGCCATTTGCAAGAAGACTTTGACCAGATCTGATCATACAGCCCCATCCCGTATCAGACGTGAAGCCTTGTGAGTCCATGAGTTGGCTTCTCAACCGCACACTCAGTGTCATGTTTGGGTTCGCATCGTGGTTCTGGGGTCTCGGTATTGGAACGAAGTTGGATCTATATGTTATCCAAATCCTCGACTCAAAATCGCATACGAATGCTTTGGGCCACCCAAGGGCTGTCTCATAGGCCTGTGTTGTTGCATCTTGTGCGAGGTCCTCCGAATCACGCTCACCCTCTTCGGAAGCGGGAATTTGTGGCCCTGGAAATCAGTAAGCTGAGGTATTACCATAGTGGTTTCATTCTGATGCTTACTGGTGTCGCTTTTTGGGGTAGTCACTGGTACATGTCGAGTATATTCCTTGCCCAGGCACCATATAGGTGAACTAGGCTCTTCATCGTTTTTGGGTTCAGGGTCCCAGAGGTACTGTACGATGCGTTTGCATCTTCCTAAATCCACGCTGTTCATTTCTGGTTCACTTTCATCCTGGTTAGTGAGGCCGAATTGTTCAGATTGGTTGCTCAATAGCAAATATGATGACTGATGAAAGAGGGGGGTTCATGTGAAATGATGATGCACACCTCTCGAGCCTCCTCTGTATTTGAGAAAATCGGGCCAAGAAATATAGAGTTGTTGAAAATTGGTGGCCAAAAGATATATTTAATTTGTAGGAAAGGTGAGAGAATGAGGGGTCTGTCTGTAGTCACGAGGAAACCAAATGATAGATAGTTGTCCAGACGTCATCATCATCACCCTGCAATCCTGCATAATTAACTATGGGTTAGCCTTCTAGTAACGTAATATAGAATATAAAGCTATGCTATTATTTTTGGAGCTCACCCAGAAGTAGGTTCTACAAATACTATATTATTTGAATAGTCATTATATCTTCCTTTCATCAAGGTTTATCAAATCGGACCCGCTCGTTTGTTTTATGGCCTTAGGCAATCAACTACATTAGAGGCATATATGTTCCTTCGTACCCTTTTCTCCACGCAATCTAACTTTCGGTGTATATAGAGTTGTTGTATTGGAGAGAATGAAATGGAATAACACTGGTCTGGGTACACTGAGTTGTCAATCGCTAACTGATACTTGCATATTACGCAAGGCACGTCCGTTGCAGTGACCTATACTTGGGTTTGAGAAAATTGTATATTTTGTGAATATTGTTATGCAAAAAAAAAAAAATTGGTTTGATTTGATTTTGTTCCCTGAGGGAAGGGAGGGGGAACTCTGCTCGATGTGGCATGCATATATATATTGCCATTTGACAGTGTTCATATTGTACATCCCCACCCCCATAACATATGCACTCTTCCCCTGACCCGGCAGTCAATGGTGCTAAAACCGCATGAAGTTCCCACAGGATATATAAAGTACTCCAGCAAGATATCCCTGCCGAACTACACTACAGGAAATGGCAGAATCACAAGATCCTTTGGAAGTAATGCGTATCCACGATGAGCCCGACACCATTATCTCCAGTACCCGACCGAAGCCATGAAGTATGATACAAGGGATAAGAACCACCATCTAGGTACCATACTACAGAGTACGTATGTATACACAAGAATACCTTCGTGAGGTCATCGTGGAGCCCTAGGTGGAGATTACCTAGATTGTACTGTGTACCACACAGGGAAAGTGGGGTATCTATGATTTGGGGGTATGTAGTAGTGTATCTATTAGCATGTTTACACATTAGAGCGCGATAGGAGTATGTATTCAACGATTATGTATTTTATGCATATTTCGTATTGCGTACCCCTGGGATAGTTCAAGCATAACCGGGCATAATAGATTGAACTGACGAGCAAGAATGAATGACTAATCATACAGTGTCTGATAGCTGTTATCGCTCCCCTCAAAGAAAAGCCGACATCCCGCCACTCTTCCTACCACGCAACCTTAACCAATATCACCATTGCGATAGCAAATTCCCGAACGAAACGTGTGGCCAGAAATGGCTCGTCATGGCAAGTCAAAGGCACGGATGAAAAAACCGGAGACCATGACGAGGGCCCGTCAAGGTGTAGGCAGTATGCTTCATCATCCTGATAACCGTACCTATATAGCTGACTGTATTTAGGCCAGTTACCAAATCAACTCACCATGCAGCAAGCGGCGCGGAATACCGAAGGCCGCAATATCTGGCTTCCACATTCCCAACTGCGCCATAAAGCAGTCCATTTCGTGAGAGGTGGTGACCTTGAACCGGAGGAGACGAAAATCCAAACCATACCGACACCCGAGAAAGAGCCATGCGAGTCGACATTCAAAACGGAACTAGACATTGAGAAACACGACATTTCTCATGATGATACAACCATCGAGCTTAGTTTTTTTATTGATCGGTCAAGCCAAAGCATCGCACCCACAGGTCTACCCAACCCTGTTTCTAGATTACGTTCACTCAGCCCAGAAGACTCAAGTGGGGATGAAATAGTTTTTCACGGACGGAGCAGATATACCGACCAAAAGAATCGTTTACAACACCCAACTACAGTTGACGATGAATATGAGCCGCAGTTCTTAGAAACATCCGTTACGCGTCAAAACCCAATTTCAAAGGCTTCAAACAAAGCAGCACACAGTTCCACCCCCCCGCGAAGATATGACCAAGCAATATTCAACGAGGAAAGTACAAAAAGTACAAAGGACGATGAAAATGATATACTTGCCGACTACATCGCCAACATGGACGTGGATGTCGACTACGAAGAAACGGATACATCAAGCAACGCGCAACCGGACAACGTTGGTTTGAATAAATTCGAGCTATCACCAGATCTCGTTGAAGATCCTGGTTCAGTCAGCCTGCCAAGTAGTGACAACTTGAAAGAATTCAAAGAATCCGAAGCCAGTGGCTCGGAGGTTCAGTCTGACGAAGATTTGCTTGACGAAGAGATCGATTTGGAGAACATTGAGTCACTATACGAAATAGCCTCTGGCTGGAACACGAAAACTAAATTAAAGAAAACAAGATTCCCTTCGGCGTCAGCCTTTGCTGATGCGCTAGAATCAGACCCTTATCACGGATTTGATATAATGGATTACAACCGACCCAGCTTGAGGAAGAAGGTCAAAGGGAGAAAAGGCCCTCCCGATTTTATGTTATCCGATAGCGAACTCGAGATGGAATTAGAAAGAGCGTGGAGAAATGATCGAGAAAAGAAGAAATCCAAAAAGCAAAAACGCGAGGAGCTTCGCTCTCAGGGATTGCTAGGCCGAAGCATAGGCAAGGCAGACTTGAAGACCAAGTATGCACATGGCATGGGTGTTGATGACACAAAATCAGAGATCCGTGCCTTTCTTTTATCATCGAAAGACAGGTAATTCCTCCCCCAATCTGTCACAGAACATCGCTGACAATATTAGTTTGCCTTTACCTCCGATCAATAAACAACTAAGGAAACTTGTCCATGACATGGCAAATGCTCTCTCACTGAAATCGCATTCCCGAGGCAAGGGTCCCTCCAGGTTTCCTATTCTCTACAAAACTTCTCGTACCTCGAAGTATAATCAACATAATATTTCGCAAGCCGACAAGATACTCTCGCACGGGAGGTTTCGCCATCGCACAACTAAGACAGGTGACCAAAGTGCAAGAAAATCAGTGAAAACTCGTGGTGGTCGCCCAGACACTTCCGTTTCTTACATGGACGGTGACATTGTTGGCGCATCAGCGCCTGAAATAGGTACAGAAAACAAGGGACGGGCTATGCTAGAGAAAATGGGATGGAGCTCAGGAACTGCTCTTGGTGCGACTAACAACAAGGGTATCCTACTACCTGTTGCGCATGTGGTTAAAAAGTCGAAAGCTGGTCTAGGCTAATCATCCTCACGGCTCTTGCACATTTGATAAGTATCGTCAGTGCAGATACATAGTATTGATAATAAAAGATTGTCAAATGAGCCTAGTTTTCATACGCCAAGGCATAAATTGATGCTTGTGTCAGCCTGCTACTTCCTATTTCTGGAAGTATTGGGCAGTGGCTGCGCATGGCCAAGTTCTCTGACATGGGAGAACAACTGATTTTTAGAAATGAAAGTCGAATGACACATTACACAGGCCAGATCCGTTGAAGGGTTTGCCTGTTTTTGTGCAGCTTTTTTGGCACGTTTTTGTTTGGCTTTTCCCATTTTCTCAGGCGATTCCTTTTGCCCCTCGGGGATCAATGGCATCCCAGACAACACATTCTTTGCCTCTTGATTTCCATCGTTTTCCTTGACAAGGAGACAACGTGACTGCGTCTCGGTATTAGGGTCATGGCTAGTACCTTTGTCTGAAGCGCTGATATTGAGATTTTCCAACTGATCTAAACTGAGACCGCCAAATCTCTGGAGTTCAAATTGGTTGTCAACAGTCACATCATCAGACTCATGTACGTCTGATTCACAGTCTGATCTAGCTGTAGCCATCCGATTGTTATTGCCATGTTCTTTGATTTGCCGCAGATATGCATCCTCAAAAACATTATTCCCATTTTCATTCCCTTGCAAATTCAATTGCCTATCCTGTGCTGTCATCTCTTGACGAAGATCTTTGACCGCCTTCAAATGTCTCTTGCTACGCTCGTGAGCTTGAAGTTGCTGTTGACTCTTGAAACTCTTGTGGCACACCACACAATCGAAATGTTCCACCTCGCTTTCGGGGCTGTCATCTCGATATTCCTGCGGCTCTTCCGATTTGGCCCACTCTGGAGCAATATATTCACGTAGCTTAGCTTGGTTAGCTGCTCGCGACCTAGTAGCCTGTGCTTCTGCCGATTGACGAAGGGTCTCCTGGCGTTGTGCTTCGCTTTGGGGATTAGTTTTGTAACGCAGGTCTCGCTTTTTTATGAAAGACACAAGCGACCTAACAGCATCATTGAATTCGCGGATTCCTTCTTCTCTTAGGCGTCTGTTTTCTTTCTCCATTATCCTGCGGACACGACGATCTGGGGCTTCGGAGTAACGATGGATGTCTTTCCATGCAAACGACTTCTTTGTGGAGAAACTACTCCACACAGCATAAAATGGGCGCACAGTATCTTCGAAGCTGTCATTGCGATGTCCAAAAGTTGGGTAATCAACGTATTCGATATTTTCCCATTGACATGCCATTTTCTCCTCGCAAGCCAGTCGCAAGAAGGTTTCACGGAGACCACCATAGAATCCTGATTTTGAGTCCGAAAATTCCATGCGGGGACTGAAATTGGAAAAAAGTTTGAAAATGTCATCTGTAGTTGTCATTTGGGTGTTATACGAATAATCACCACTTTCTGTTCTGGCGCCGTTTCCCAAGACCTCACGATGGGAGTCATACCACGCCCGCTCCTGAGGATCTGAGAGGACTTCATATGCAGATTGTACCTCCGCAAATAATTTTGTTGCGGTTTCAACATTTCCGTAATTTCTGTCTGGGTGTAGCTCAAAGGCTTTCTTTCTGTATGCCTTCTTTATCCTAGTCGTGGGGTTAGAGATCTGTTCAGTATAATAGGCGGGAGGATGAACTTACTCCTCTTCAGAAGCATCCCATTGTACACCAAGATATCCATAATAATCACTTTTAACTTGTTCCTCAGGTAAGTCTGGGCCTCCATGGCTTGATGAATGAAATTGTCCCATTGGCTAGGCCTTTGTGCTGTATTGTCTGGTCAGATAAAGATTTTTAAAAAAAAAAAAAAAAGCAAGAATATTGATCAATTGCCCGGAAAATTTTTTTATTCCCCCCCCCCCTCTTCATCTTTTATCTCAAAGCAGTAGTACGATCATGCTTGATGTAGTGGGTCGCATAGATCCACCAGCCAGAGGTACATGTACGAGTTAATCATTTGTTTTCCTACATAGCCACATTATTAAAATGTAAAATGAATACATGAGCAGTAGTACATAATTATATAATCTTTAGCCAGTTCAGGGTAAGCTCTATGTCGATATTATCACTCTACAAGCCAGCTACCAGCCTTGGATTACCATCTGTGTAATGGCAAAGAAATAAGGGAGGAAAAGGAATTATAAAGAAGAAGAAAGAAGAGAACGAAAGTGGAAAAAAAAGGAGAAAATTGACATCATATATCTGTTATCAATATCAATCTCTTTCTTCCCCGCTTAACAGATTCCACCGTATGCCTTAATACTGCGCGAGAATCCTTACTTTGAATATCGGAATGGTTTTATCTCTCGAAAATCTTCCTGAAGAAGTACTTTATTCTATCCTATGTTATTGCCACCCCACTTCGTCAGCTGCATTGCAACAGACAGCTCGCCGGTTCAGAAATGTAACGAATGAGCCTTTACTATGGCGTTTCTACTGCAAAACCTACTTCAAGCAATGGGATCATAGACACAGGCTGCCAGAGAAACTCGCTAGCCCTGTCCGGTCAGTTAACTGGAAAGCTCTTTACGTATCTAGGCATCACATCGACCGCGTGACTACCAATCTCCTGGACAAAATCATTGCGAGTCAAACTGGGCGCATCAATAAATTTCAGATGGTTGTCGATTTTGGATACGATACCAAAGACACCCTTTTACGGCACCTCTCTGTAGGACCGGAAGCAGATGACTATTTAGCAAGAAGGTTGGCTCTTTCCAGATATCATTCTAGGGAACATTCTGTAGCTCATCATTGCATGAGGATAGATATTACGCACAAGCACTGTTAACCCAGCTCAACCGAGGCCTTGCAATTGCAGAATGGGCAAAAATAAGGACTGGTGAGATTTTATCACTCGAGAGAGCATTGGGTGCTTTCGATCTTTTCATTCCAAACGATGGTGGTGGGAGTCTAGATGATGTATGTTGGATTTCATGGTTAATGCATGCGGTACTTCTAATAGCAATACAGATAACTACAAAACTAAATGAGGTTGCTATACAGTTCATCTCCAATTTTCCTAATATAGGCCAACTTTCGTCCCGTGAGAAGGCCTTGGCTGTGGCCTCATACTTGAGGACAAACAATCTGACAGGCATTGAGCCAGGACGGGAGTACCACCAATTGGAACACAATTTCCTGGGGGCTGTATTAGATGATCCTGATCATAATGCACTTCCTTTGGTCTCAGCAGCTATCTATTGCTATGTTGCGCAAAAGCTTGGCCTGAATGCCCGGCCTTGTGGTTTTCCCTTGCATGTCCACGTCATTGTCACGCCAGCACTGGGCTTTGATATAGATGGAAACGCGCTCGACTCCGCGGATCAAGGTGAACCCATGTACTTGGATCCGTTTCATTCACAGCAAGAGACGCCTATCTCAAACCTACAGAGTCAATTGCTTCTTCTGGGTGCTTCCGACATCGAGCGATCGAATTTTCTGGGCGAATCTTCAATACCGCAAATTGTCCTACGATGCGGAAGGAACATTTTGAATTCGATCCAACGCATGCAGTTTCCTAACGTGCGCCAGACACAGGTTGATTTGGCGAGCGCAAAGTATGCTGCATTTTGGTCGTTTATGCTTTTCTCAGGGCCTGCCCAGCCAGCGGAGCGTCGGCACTATTTACATTGGCTAATGGAGCTATTTGCTACGAATTTCCCATCTGACGTCTACCTTGTCGAGCAGCATATTGTCCCTCTTCTTAGGGGCTTGCCGGAATATGATGATATTTTGGGAAGTCTTCGTGACATACGAACCAATGACGAGATGCCAAAACAAGTACGGCGTCGAACTACCAGTAACAAAGGTGTAAGATACCGGATAGGTCAAGTTTTTCGACACCGTCGCTATAGGTACAAGGCGATCGTCACCGGGTGGGATATGGAATGTGAGGCTAGTGAAAATTGGATGAGAACGATGGGAATAGATCGCCTGCAGACAGGCAGGCACCAGAGTTTTTACCACGTGTTGTAGGTAAACAATAAACCTTTTTGGTTCTCGAAAACGCTAACTAATATTAGGGTTGAGGACAGATCAGTCCGCTATGTAGCCGAGGAAAATATCGAGCCGATTGACCGTTCTCTTGAGGAGCTTCCTTCGAACCTAACCGCAGTAGCCGGGAGGCATTTTAAGCGATGGGATGCGAACACCCGGTCATTTGTTAGTAATATACAGGATGAGTACCCAGATGACTAGTCATGGCATCTATCTGCAAGGACCGGGGAACCTGAGGATAAAGGACGATCTATATTGTAAATGGCGTCTGCAGCTGAATGAGGAAAGAAAAATGCAGAGTAAAACATGTACATATTCATGGTATATAAAATATCAAAAATAAGGCTGGGAGCGATAATTGGAGGGAAAATGAAATTATTGAAACAAAGAAGCATCTAATAAAATATATTAATTGTGGAGTATGGATTAGTGACTTATATTCTTTTCTCTCTACTCATTACTCTTTTATTTCTCACCATGCTACCCAGACTGCGGCAAAACCGCATTTGCGGTTTTGGTTATCAAGTTTCCTAACCATAGCTAACCGCAAGATAATCGCATTAGCATAAATATCGCTGATTTGTCTTGCTCAGGACCATTATTTCTAATTATGTCGCTGACATACATTATTTTTAATTTCAATATATATATATATATGTTCTGGTTATGTGACAGTATTCTACATACTTTACTTATACGTAGATTATTAGAAGTAAATATTTTTCTATTTTCAAATCCATTGACTTTAATGCCAGGATGCAGTTACAGGTGCAAAAAATTTTCTTAAAAAAAATACAACCAAAGATGCATAATTCATATACTCCCTTAACCTGACCAAAAACTCTATAGTATGTCCTTAGACTACACATCATTCCAGAATAACTTGGAATGACCGAATGAGCTTGTAAATTAGGATCTTTTAAAAGTGTTGCAATCAATTTTTTCTAATCTGCAAGAATGCTAAAAGATCAGAGGATGGGACGTTGATTAAATTATCCAAGATCATGTTCCATTCATTATATCCAGGCAGTTATCGAGGCAGATGGCTAGTATACGAAGTATTAGGACTGGAAGAATAATAGGTGGTATAGTAACAACAAGGCAACTGGCTGCAATTTTTTTTATAACACCGTAGACCTTGACCTAATCTAGTCTCTGAATAACAGATCTGTAACTATAGATTTAGCATGATAATCAGTAAAAAAGATTAATCTTTACTCTTATACTACACATTAATACTTATATATTGAAGCTACAAGCCTGAAAACTTGTCTTTTTTTATTATTGAAAGGATAACCTCAGAAAGGCCTTATGGGGTGATCCATAACTAAACTCATATGAAAAATTTAGTTGCTATACTGAGAACTGAGAGCTCTTCACTGAAAGGAATCGTTTTATTAAACCTCATTAATTGCGGAGATTTATTTTATAAAAAAAAAAATTCCCTATATATCCACCCTTATGAATAAACCCATGTTTCTTAATAGGCAATGCAGGGCCTTAAAAGGCTTATTAGGATATTGTATGGCTTGTATTCACTACAGTGAGACTTATCAGCAATGTGACATAATCTTTAATTTCTTAATATCGACTGACAAAATGCCTCACTGCTCATTTTTAAGAACCAGCTGCTCCTAACAATTCAGAAGCCAGTCTCCTCTTATATATTATTACAATATGCTTAAAAATTCTTATCAAATATATAATAAATCATGATGAGAAAAAGATATGCGAATAAAAACCAGATTTGAATTATAGTTCTTGGACAAAAGTCTACGTAATTTCCCGCAACCACGAAAAAAATATAATCACCAAACATTTCTTTTCCACATAAATCAACCAAACATCAAGATTTTTACTAGATAATCGAATATGTTATGAATAAGCAGCATAAAATAATAAAATAAAATAAAAATCGTATTAATAATGTGTATACCACCCCTTTGCCTCTAAAACTGCATTAACACAGTTCTCCATAGACATTACCAACCCATCAAAAAAGTCCTGTCCTAAACTCTCCCATGCATTCTCCATGGCCTT